AAAGAAAACAAAGTTCCGACAAAATCTTCCATTAAGTTATTAACATTAGATTTACGAAGGTTTTATTTATTACATTTTTAATGACTTACAAACATTGTTTGAATAAAGCGTTAAGTAAAAAGGAGGAATTAATATTTACGTATATTTTATTATGTAACTAAAAACCATCAGATGTTTTTAAAAGATAATATTTAAGTTTTTTTATATATAGTAATCAAATTTTTAATGAGTCAAATTGGCTTAGTCCGTAAATATAGTGTTAAAACACTGTTGATGGAATAATGGATATTAAATACCTTTTATGCAGTACTTACCAATGCATTTTTTTTTTTTCATTTAACTCTTTGAGTGTAGAATACTTTTTTTAGCTGAAGCGTTTTATAGGAACGGAATAGTTTATTATTAGTGCGACTGTTTCCATTGATTGATATTATTAATCACACACACACACACACATATTCTAATAATAAATTATATTTAATAATTAAATTTTTTGTTTCTTATATATAATATTCATGTGACAAGACTCATAACAATAATCAATACGCAAACCAACATTATATTATTTGATATTAATATTGACAAACACGTAATATTCGTCGAAAGAAATTACGCTGGCAACTTTTATCAAACGCATATATGCGTCCATAGCAGTCAAAATGAATATTTTTTTTTTCTTACTCTTCGTCTTAACAATGAAGCTACTTATGGTGTTACTCGTTAATAGGGTATTAACTAATGAAAGAAAAGTAAAGAAAAATTTCATACTGTTGTAATAGCAAGTAGTTTAAAATACCTGCTACATAATGTTACTCAAGAATACTATTGAGAAAGGGAAAACGTATGGTGATTGTTGGTTTATGTAAATAATGATTTAAATGGAACATATTTGAATAATAAAGTAAAGTATTTATATACTTTTAAAGGATGAATAAAATCAATTAACTATAAAGGAATGTTGATAGCAGCAAAGATGTGATTAATCAATGAGAAGATAATCATGAATGTGGTCCTTTCTTGTATGGGGTCTGAAAAAAATCTCATGTTGATTTCAAATAGTAAACAACAAAAAAATACCCTAAGTTTTGTAGATTTATTTTAGACATTATTAATCATGCTGCAAGTATTAATATCAGCGTAACAGGTAAGTTTAATTAATTTAAGTCAACAGATTTTAGAATGCAACAATCATTGTATTAAATTATACCATACATATTATAATGTATTCAATAAATTTATTAAAATAAAAAACATAATTTGCCTCGAACCCTAAAAAAACATTTTAAAACCTCAGAGAATCCTTCGAGGGCCTTTTGGTATTTCAGGGCCCTACACTGCCGCTTAATTTGCTTACCACTCCGCTACTGACTATGATTTGTAATACCTGTAATTCAACTTGCAAAATGTAATAGCATGCGTAGTATTTTTAAAAGTTAACCTTTTCCCTGCTAACGGTGACTATAGTCAACTAACTTCTAACGATCATAGTAGACTAACGGTTACTATAGTCATCTAACGTCTGTATATTATTGAACCTCTCGAATATTCCTTATCGAAAGTTTATGTTTGAGAATGGTCGGGAAGTTTCGGGAAAGATGGAAAAAAAAAATAAAAAAAAAATAAACGATTCGAAATATAAGGGGAAACAGTTCCGTTCGAATCAGTTCTAGCTAATAGATTTGTAGCATTATATCTGTTTAATCTAAATAAAAAACTGACTCTTTCATTTACTCTTTACTATCACTTATACCATATCCCCAGGCAAGTAAATAATATATTTCAAAAAATACTTCCTATATGTGTAAATAAATTTGTTATCTAGAGTTTATAAAAGCAATTTCTTGTGTGACTCAAAAATATCGTGTGCGGGATTTTTGAGTTATATTCTATGCGAGGATTATTTTATTTTATGCGATTCCTATTCATCGCATAAACAATTTTGTGTTCTTTGTTTTTTTTTTTTTTTAAATACATTGCGAACGATATTTTTTATACCTACTTACGAGGTTTCCGAATATTTATTTTTTTTTTCTGTGTGCTTTAATTTATGCGGTCTCTATCATTCGCACAAAAAAATAACAGGTTTCGGTGTATTTTTTTTTTCCTAAATAAAATATTATTAAAAACATCAACCATTAAAGTGCTTGCTGAAAAATAGGTAAGTTCAGGACCCTAAAAAAGTCGAGCAAAAAACGAATTGAAATGGTTCAAGTACTCGTTTCTCTAACCTTCGTAAGGTTAAATAATAGATAAGAAGACATCATTGTGTAAAGATAATACAAGGTACATTACGTATTATTTAAAATACGAATGATACTGTGCCGCCACTGCGTAATGTATGAATTATTCATGCAGAATAGCAGCAGCTTTTCAAGTTTTCTTTTTTTTTTTTCATTTCTCATCCTTCTTTTGTTAACAATTTCTCTTTTTTTTTTATCTCCGTTTCTTTTAATCGTACAAATTATTTATATAATTCACGACACAATGCCATTGTGATCTGTTAATTATTATATCGTTCACAAATTCTCAATTCACATAGAAATATCAAGCAGCCTTTAAAGTTTTTTCTTTTCTTTGCTTATTTTACCCTTACGGTAATAAAGAGGAATAAAAAAAACTAACTTTGATTCTTTTTATTTTTTATACAATGCCTGAAAAAAAAACTATTTGACAGATTGAAACACAAGAACCGTTTTATAAAACAGGTCTGAAATGTCTGTTGTTAGAATGTAAAATGATTTTAAAATTTAGAGTAAGGTCAGATATCGGTAAACGCGGACTAATGTAATATCTATGTATAAAATGACATTACTTTCGAAGTAAACCTAATAATTATCTTGACACCATGTTGAAATCAAGAACTCCTACTAAGAAACGTTTGAAACTCTAATAATATAATAGATAGCTAAAGTATAATTACATTATAATAAAAATAACAAAACATGTATATTTTGAATAATTAAAATAATAATAATGATATCATAGTAAAAGGTATTTTAAACATCTATCACTTTGTTCCACAGTGAAACAAATTAATACACGTTGGTTTAATTAAATAAACATTTTCTCATTCATTTTGTATGTATTTTTTTTCAAAGATTAAGTTACGATGCATAAAAGAAAAAAGTCAAAATACATATATAAGAATTTGTTTTTTAATAAACTAATAATTAATACAAAAATTGCAAAAATTAAAAATAAAGAATGAAATTATTCTAATTTCTCTTACTCCGTAATTTTGTAGATTAGAGTGTTCGTTATTTGGCTTTTTGAGAAAATTTGACGAGTACATCTCTCGGTTAATCTCGAAATAAATAAAAATAAAAATCATCTTTATATTTCAGTCGTTTTGCTTTAATATTAAACCGTGCTAATGAGAACGTACGTTTTTCTCTTCATTCACGTAACGCAGAAATTTTTAAATTTTTTTAGATATCATTTTTTTAAAACAAGCAACGAAAAACGAGAAAAATTTTTACTCCTCCACACCAATGACGTAGGTGGTATTGTTTTACCATATATTTTTCCTTAAGCTGATAAAATAATATTTATTATTTGAAAAGAAAAAAAAAACCGTGATGAATGAGAATAGATGAAATTTATTATAATTCATATACAAATCTCGTATGTATTCGAGTGTTATTTGTTCGTCAAATATAATCAAAAATTTTGTCCTAACTATTTTTTCGATAAACTTAAAATATTGTTTGCGATACAGTATACTTATTGTCCATTTGATTTTAATTCAAAACTAGTCGATGTTTAATATTGTGAAAATTTAACAAAGAATATATCTCAAATATACGTTATATTTATACAGTAATGAAACTGTGTTAACATTGTATTTTATTATTGTAATGAACGATATCTCGTAGTATTTGAAACGTTAATACAATTTAAATATAACAAAGTAATATACTCTTGGACGTGTTTCAAATTAAAATAAGTTATAATTAATCCAGCAAATTCCAACTGCATAATTGTATCGAATCCTAAAATAATTTCAGACACTTGCCATGCGTATCAGAAATGCAATAAATAAATAAATAGTAAATGAACCTAACAACGCATCTGCTACTGGCCGAATTACATATACACGGTGTCCAAATAATTTACTTTATTAAGCTACCTTAGTTAAATCTACAAAATACATAAACATGGTAGAACTGCATAAAAAAATAGTAAAAAAAAATTGGCGGTTAAAACAACTTCGATCGTTTTCCAACGCAACAAATCAATTTCGTGAACACGCTTTTAGGAGAATGATTAATGAGACACATTTTTCTAGAAGGGAAATGGTCAGTTTCTGTTAAAAAAGTCAATCCAGAGTGTCAGGTTTGTTTTTGTTTCCATCGTTTAGATACGGTAAATCATAGTCAGCGCTATAAGAAAAAGCAAAAACGAAAGAAGCAAAAAAAGAAAAAGAAAAGAGAGCGGGTAGGCAAGTTTGAGAAATAAAAAGAGGGATAGAAAAATACAGAAAAGAAAAAATATAAAAAAAGGCACGAAAAATGTTGGAAATATTGCCCTGTCACTTTTCATTGTATTTCTTTAGAACAACGTGTATCCTTCGGATCATAGTTGTACACAAAAGAATAAGATCCCCTTTTCTATTCCTCTTCCCCACTCCCCATCGCTTTTCTCTATTATTTTTCTTCCATTACGTCTCACGAATATCATTGGCTGCAGCTTTAGTTTGCTGTTGTCATCTCAATCATCTCATTATTTTTTCTTTTCTTTTTTCTCGTTCCAATCATGGAACATTTTGCGAGTCACCGATAAGAATCGTTATTCAAATTATTTTCCAGTTTAAAAAAGAAATACAATGGAAACAAAAACAACCACCAACGAAGTGTCGCGAAAGATTTCGCATCGGTTATAACCATAAGAATATTATTGAAAAATTTGATTGAATTAAAAAAATACACCCGATCGCATGATCTAGTTGTCAATAGATTGTATATTCCGATGTTTGTTAAATATTTAAAAAAAAAAATAAAATGTACAAATGATAAGGTTTATCACTCACCGCAACCGTAGTCTATGCTTGGTGTTGGTTGAACGTTGCTTTCGATGATAGCCTTACTGAATAAATAAATCGGATTTGTATCAGTTCCAGCTGAGTAAGAACACACACGGGCATGTGGTTCTAAACTATCACCTCCGCTCATCAGGAGCACCTGATGGCACGCCATAACCCCACATTCCCTCTCAATTGCCTCCTTCAATTGAGCGACACTGAAAAATATACAAATAATAATGGATCAAATATATTTCCATATAATAAAAACTTTATAAAAGAAATTACGTTCTATTACATTTTACTCTTCCTCTTAAACTAATATATATATATATTATTACTATAATATTATTATTATTATATTAATTATAAATGTACCGGTAAAAGGAACTAAAATTTGACTACAATACAGTTTTGAAACATTTGAAGAAGACTATGTTTGTGTGGGTACAAAATATGAACAAAATTTATTATTAACGTTTTTAACGCAAATATTTTCTTTAGCTAATCGTTGTTCAGAAATACGCAAATAAGGTCGGCGTAAGGGCTTTTGTGGCTGATACGTTGCCGACGCTCAAGCTTTAGATATCTTATATGTCGCCAGCGTTTAATGTGTAAATATAAGAAAATAAATTTAATATAAATGCAGGATCATAAATGTTTTATTAAGAAATTAACAATGAAACGTTTCCGTTTGTTTGACTTGGCAAGGAAACTATGTCAAGTTTGTATTTACAAGAACGGATGACTCTTTTTGAATAAGAACTTCAATATCGATTCAACGAAAATCCAGTTACGTATAAATTTCATATTCTTATATATATATAATTTATGAAGAAAATATTTACACACAACTTTAATTTTGATATTATTATTTTATATTATATAGAATGATAATATTTATGATAATAATAAAAATATGATATATAATAATATTAAATAATATTATTACGTATTATTACATAGATAATATTACATAATATATTTACAACTTTAATTTGATATTATTGTATTATTTTATCTTTTTTTTATTTTATATTATAGAATGGTAATATAATATTTTATATTATAAATACTTTAACGTTATTAAATGAAACGTTCTGTATACGTGTATGAATAATTCATTAATTGTAAATGTTTCGAGTTTATCATGAACTCTACGATCGACATTGTTTGAATACTTGAACACGAAACGACTTAAATTTTGATCTATCAGACGACTGTTACAACACTAAAACGTGATTTACTAACGTGAAGATATTACATGAAATGTGATATAATACGTCAACTGTATGATTAATTTGCAAAATGTTCGAGCAATATTCAAAACACGAAGCAATTTATAATTATTTTTTTGGTTTCCCGAAAACTATTAAATTATCAGATTTGAAAATTGCAAATTTTGGATACTTATTTGAATTAAACTTTCGATATAAAGGAGGTATTATGAAAACTAATGGTTACTAAAATTTAATGAAATTTTCAATTCTTCGAACAAATCTAACGTTCAATGCTTCACCTATTTTCAGTAAATTTTCTTTCTCTTACCTTTTACTAACAATAAAATTGACTGTCAGATAGATATTTTTTTAATTTTTTGCTAAAGCATAAAAATTCATTGAAAAGAAAAAAAGAAACAATTGTTAGTTGATAGCGGAAAAAAAGTTTTGCGATAGTTAACGGTTAATTAGAATTTAATTTAATTTTTTAATTTACATAGTATCCATTATGTTCTATTTTCGTGTTACTTTCTTACATTTTTTTCTTCTTACTCGTTGAAAAAACTGACGTTTAACAGATTGCTTTTTATTTTTTACAAAAGCATAAAAAAGTCATGCATAAACGTTTCTTAATCGTTATAGATGGATAGAGAGTATATGTAAAAATGAAAACCTCTTAAGAGGGTTCAGAGAACACAAAGAATGTTTCATCGATCGTTTTGTTTATACGAAATAAAAGGAAATGAAAGGAATCCGGAAACGTGCTTGAACCTTATAACCACAAAGATACTCAACCATTTACAATTCCTTGCAATTCCTTACAATTCCATGCAATCCTTCCATCGTTTCTTAGTATAAAATTTATATATCGCAAAAATACTTTTTGACAAAAAAATCAATAAACGTATGTACGTAATTTGATTAATTAATTAAATAGCATGCAATTAAAATAACTCGGTGCGTGTAAAAAATTTAAAAAGCTTTTAAATTTAAATCAATACTAAAACAATTAAACATCGTATTTTATACAACATTATTAAAATCACGGATGATAATCCTAATCTCGTGATAAAGGCATGCTTCTGTTTGGTTCTAATTTTACGAGTTTAATAATTAACTCTCGTTAATTAAAAATAATAAAATACGTAGCAATATCTTTCATTCAAAATGATACTTAAACATACAATATAATCTATCAAATAAAATCAATTAGTAATTCAGATACGTCCTATAGATTCTCACGTATCCTAAATGGACCACACCCTATTTTTCCGATAAATTCCTTTGTTAAAGGAAACCACCTTTAAGTAATATTGGATCGAAATATAAGAAGGAAAAGAGAGAGAAAAAAAGCAAATGATGACAAGTGAATTCTTCCCTTCTTTCGATTCTATCATCAGATAAACAGTATTATACTTCGGAGACTTTCATCGGTGGTTTTTGAAGTTTCAAATTTCACGAAAGCTTTCGGTATGATATATGTTACTAACACTGCTAAAAATATCGATTTTCTTCTGGAAAATAGGTCAAGACGAATAAAACGAAACGGTTCGAAGAAGCGTAATTAGAGGCGTAAGAAGAAAAATCATTTCAGCGCGTAATCGGACGTTGGTAAGCTATTACAAAATACTGACAAAAATATTTCAAAGCTGGATACACGTTTCTTTATTTACAGGCACTTTCAAAAGTCGCTTTACTAAAAAAAAAAATATCAGAAAACAATATTGGTTTGTTAATGAAATTACGATATTTTATTTATCACTTAAAGATACAATTAGTGTCCATTAAAATTGTACACCATTATGTTTGTTACATTTCTATTTGGAAACTATTGATATAGTGTGTTTACGGTGAAAAGAATTTAGAAATAAATACGTTAGTATATCTTAATTACATATTTATTGGATTTAATTTGAAAGTTTTACTTCTGAATTAATTTAATACGAAAATAATATACGGAAAAAGCCTGTACCTTGAAATTGTTCATATTGATATAACTGTAAAAATGGAAGGAATACTTAGTTTTTTCGTATCTAACGCTTAGTCATTCTTTGTCTTTACTGTTATTTAAATTTTTAGTATCAAAATTAGTTTAATACCTATTAAACAAAAAATAATATAAAATACATTTGTTTCAATAATTACATATCTATTAATATAATTCGAATATTCTATCTGATATTTTATTAGATGCAAATTTTCAGGTGAAAATCATCACTGGCCGAAAGTGCTAAAAGAAATGTATTTTAATTTAAACAATCCAAAATATTATTAGAAGTATATTAGAACGTTCGATATACCTTAAATGACTCATAATTAATCGAAGAAAATGTATATTATAATTTAAAAACACAGAGCAAAAGTAAGACGCACCCGTTCTCTTATAAATCCAACGTTAGACTGATTGTTTGTTCTCTATGAAAGCCAGTTAAAATTTTTATGTTGATTCATGTTTATATAACTTTTCTTATATGCTACATATGCATAACAAAAATAATATCCGTAATAAATAGAATTTATTCTTCTGAAAGTCATACAATCAATACAAGAAATTTAACCGACCTTGATGAGTGAAAAAGTTTCAGTGTAACGGTGGATGTCATGCTGAACTCATATTCTGTGCTTCTGGACTACAATATACATTCCCTTCGATTTATTATCAATCAATTAAGGTATATTTAAAATTTTAATATGCTTTATTAATATTTTAGATTTTTTAAATTAAAATACATTTAAAACGTTCCTGGCTAATGATGATTTTCAGTTAAAAAGTTTTCATTTAATAAAATATCTGATTGAAATTGTGTGTGTGTGAGTGTTTAGTATTCCAAGGATATTAATAGATATGTAACTATTAAACAAATGTATTTTTTATCATTCTTACTTTAGTGGTATTAAACGTATTCTGATACTAAAAAACACAAAAAACCCGCTTCATTCTTACAGTTATACTTACATGTACGATTTTAAAGTATGAGCATTTTCTATACATTATTTTCGTATTTGTTTAATTCACTTGTTATAAATAAACCTTTTAAATTAAGCTCATTAAATATGTAATTAAGTTATACTAATACATTTATTTCTAAATTGTATTCACCTTAAACACACCATATCAATAGTTTTCAAATAAAAATCTAGTGTGAACATAACGTTGCACAATTTTTAAAGGGACACTTACTATATGAATATCCAATTGCAGTGCTATTGAAAAAGAATAGGTATCGCTATTCTAAATATCTGTTTAAAAACAAAATATTTAATTTTTTAATTAAATAAAATATCTTTCGAAACAATAATCCGTTTAAATTACCAAATTTATTAAATTTATTCTAAAGATCTAAATCAAGTGTGTATATCATTTCCGAGTAAACAATAATTAAAACGAAAAAACAATGAAATCAATTGTTATTTACGAGAATATACATTGCTTCGTCTCTCTGTAGTAAGTACAAACTTTACGAGCTTTGTAAAAGCACGAGTTACAAGCAGAAATTAACCCTAATTGGTTAATAAGCGTCCATACGTCGACCCTTCCTGATTCAGCATATATGTTACGGTCAATGTATTACTGTGGGCATTGTATATATTGCCCAGAAAGTTTTGGTCAATCTATAAAATGTGCTTCAGTTTGCTGTGTGATTAAAACACATAGGTGTGAGTGTATTTTTTTTTTAAACTCGTGTAAGTGAAACAAGCCATGGAAATGAAAGAATTTGTATAAAATATCTTTAACAAGTTTCGATTAATCTATAAAATGTATTTCAAGGGGGTGTTTTAAGAGTACGGGGAGTGGGGGAAAGGGTAAAGTGATCTTAGGAAAAAGAACAGTAAAACTCTTAATTGAAACCGAGGTACCACGTTGATCTTTATAATAACAGAATAACAGAATATATCTTTAATTATTAATAATTAAATTCGTGTTTTTTTTTTATTATATTACCTCTTTCTGCCGTTACAACGTTGTAAGTTTGGAAATCAAGTTCAAGTAAGAAAAA